TGTACTGTATTGCTTTCAACTTCACCACTGCAACCTGGTCTTTTAAACTATATTTGGAAATAAAAAAATTTATTTTCATAAAATAAATAATTTCAAAAAGGAAAATAAAAAAAGATATACTATAGAGTTTGCTGACAGATTCATCAAGCTGAGATTTAACAAAAGAAAAAGCAAACAGTGTTAGTATATCTTTATAATCTCGTTCATATTGAAAACTTGCAACTGCACTAACAGGAACTCGTTCTTTTTTTTTAAACTTGTTTAAAAAAAAAATTATTTATACTAACCATTACATTCTTGAAAGACTGCAAATAGTGATTTTAAATCTGTGGTACCTTTCTGTTTTGCAGCTAAGTTATGAAGATCTTTTAGAGTAACTTTTTTACCTAAAAGAAAAAGTAACATTATAATAAGGCATGGTATCGGAAAAATCTGTCCACCTTTTGCGGTGTGGTAAAGCTAGTTAACGGTCGTTTTTTGAAATTATTTTTTTTGTGTGTGGTAGTGTTTGTATAATAGAACATTTTGGCAGGAAAAAATAATTAAAAATATTATTTAGTTTCAAAATGTCAACCGAGCAAACTAAACAAAGATTTTTGATTTCAGACAAACACTTTAAAAATCCAACTTTATCGAATAGAAAGTTGGCGAAATCATTAAAAATATCAAGAAGAACTGTAGATACTGTTCTTAAACGGTTTACAGAACAGAAAACTATTCAGAGAAAACAAGGTCGAAAAAAGTGCACAGCAAATCCTAGAGCTCTCGAACTGTTAAAGACTTCATTGGAAAAACATCTTGATTGGTCTGATAGATTTCGAGCAAAAAAATTGAAGGTTTCCAATTTTTTTTTTCATAAATGGCGACAGAGACTTGGATATCAAAGTTTTAAAGTAGTTAAAATGCCAAATCGCAATGATAAACAAAATTCAACCGCAAAGAGTCGAGCTCGAAAGTTGTATTACAACTTGTTAACAAAACATAATAGATGCATTTTGATGGATGACGAAACTTATGTTAAAATGGATTTTAAACATATTCCTGGGCAGTGCTACTATGCTTTTAAAATAAGAGGAAATTTGAGTGATAAATACAAGTATGTAATGACTGATAAATTTTCGAAAAAATTGATGATTTTGGCAGGCACTTTGCTCTTGCGGCAAAAAATTGCTAATTCATGTTTGTTTGGGCACAATAAAAACGTCAGAATACGTGAAATATTGTCTTTCTTGTATAAAACGACTAATTAAAGCTCATAGAAGTTCTTTAGTATTGTTTTGGCCTGACTTAGCCGCAATACATTACTCAAAAGATGCTCAAAAGTTTAACGATGATAATGGAGTGATGTTGGTTCCAAAAAAGATGAATCCTCCTAGCTGCCCCAAATTACTTCATATTGAAATAATATTGGGCCATCATAAAACAGAAATTGAAATTAAGTGGAAAAACAGTAAAAACAGCTACAGATTTGAAGAAAAAATGGGATTATGCTGCTAAAACTTACAAAAATCACTCTGTCTAGAAACTTATGGGAGACATCAAAAAGAAAGTCAGAATTTTCTGTAAAACTTAATTTTTCTTTATTTTTTCCCTATTAATATGTAATCTTTAAAGTCTTAATTTTTCAGAAATATATTGATTTAAATACATTTAAGCTTTCTTACTTCTTTTTTTGATCAAGAAAGGTGGGCAGATTTTTTCGATAGCCTTAAGTTAAATGAAGAGAGTAAACATAAGTATGATTAGTACGAATTCCAATGCAACTTATAAAAAAAAGTGTTGAAACAAACCTGTTTCCTTCATAACTTGATCTTTAATAAGCCACTTGTTTCCGTGCATACTCAAAAGAAGACAAACATCTTCTTTTTCATCGGAATTTAATTTTCTTCTTTTTGGCAGATTGTTAAATAATTCCTACAAGTTGAAAAATTGTAAAATATCTAATATATAAACTGTTTGCACCCTAATCATTTAGTATTTTATAAAATGATACACAGTGAACACAGACACAAAATTCAAGAGAAAATATATTTTGGGTAAAAATCAAATTTGATAGCCAAACTTTATAAAACATTTTAAAGCGCTGATTATATATATATATATATATATATATATATATATATATATATATATATATATATATATATATATATATATATATATATATATATATATATAAATATATATATATATATATATATATATATATATATATATATATAAATATATATATATATATATATATATATATATATATATATATATATATATATATATATATATATATATATATATATATATATATATATATATATATAGATAGATAGATAGATAGATATATATATATATATATATATATATATATATATATACATATATATATATATATATATATATATATATATATATATATATATATATATATATATATATATATATATATATATATATATATATATATATATATATATATATATATATATATATATATAATCTTTGAATGTCATTTTCTTGTTATACATTATAATATGGTTAGAATTCAATAAATACGGCTGCGTATAAATTTTTTTTAAATATATATATATTTTTTCTTTAATATATAATTATTTCGATATTTCGCTGATCTATTGTAATCAGCGTCATCAGGTATAATAAACAAAATAGTTACAAAATCGTTATAGTAAAAACAAACCGTTAAAAAGATAACATTAAAAACCCATAATATAATACAGAAAAAAAAAACTTTTCAAACAACTGACGTCACCAGATTTTATTAAAAAATGGCCCCAAGGTTTTGGTTGTTACGTTATCACCGTCATCCCGATTGAGAACCACGTCACCATTTCTCAACTCCAATTTCTAGCCTTGCTTATTTCGAGTGACTCTCTGATTTTCCGAGTTCGATATTCTGGGGCTACAGATAATGTTTTGGGGTGCAACCAATCAAACTTACCATGGCATGTTTTAGAATGCTCAGTTGCACTCGACCTGGGCCATTTTCCTTTTAAGCTGTTTTTTTGGTGTTTAATACATCTCGATATCACCTTCTTTTTAGTTTCGCCAATTTATATTGAACCGCATGAACATTTTAGCTGGTATACACCAGGGTCTGTGTTTAGTGGTAGTTTAGTTTTATTGTTGCAGAAAATATTTTTTAAATTGGGAGTTGATGTGAAAATAACCTTTATGTTTTGCTTTCGAAATTCTTTACGAAGTTTTGGACCAACAATTGGTATCCAAGGTAGTTTTTGAACCGTTTTTTAAATAGTCTATAGTAATATTATTTAGAATGTTCTTGTCGTGGCCATTTTCAACAAAGATGTCTATTAGAAAATCGATTTCTTTTTGAAGGTGTTTTTGAGAGCATATTCTTTTAGCACAACATAAAAATCCTTTGAAAACGCCAATAACAATGTTAGGATTATTGTTCGAGTTTGGTTTAAGTTGAACATTTGTAATAGCTTCTTTTCTATGTATTTGAAATTCATAAGTTCCAGAGCCTGTGTTTGTAATGTTAATATCTAGGAAATTGAGTTGTTTGAGGTTGTTTTCAAGTTCCACTGTGTATTTTATGGCAGGATGTTGTTCATTAAGGATGTTCAGGAACATTTTTTGTTGTTTTATTGAAGCAAAGCAAGCATGACAATCATCTACATATCTCTTGTAAGTTTTTGGTTCGGATGTATGAATAATTGCTGTGTTAAGGGCTTTTCTTTCTATATTTTGTAAAAACGCTTCCGTCATAACAACCATTAAAGATAAACCTATAGGACCTGGATTAGGTATTATTTGGATATTGTTTTCATATAAAAAATAGCATATACTTAATGAAAGTTCAATTTATTGATGTATGTCTGCAAGAGTAAGTTTAGTTCGAGTTTTTAAGTCATCAATATCAGCGTTCAATATATCAATAATAACCAGAATTGCTTCGTCAATCGGTATGGATGGATATAAATTGACTATATCAAATGAAACTTGAACTTCTTTAGGATCTATTATCCATTGCTTAGCTTCATTCACAAAACTATTAGAATTCATAAGTCTATTTTTATTTTTGTTCAGAGTCGGTTGAATAATTTTAACAAGATAATCAGATGTTCCATAAGGTGGTGTGTTAATTGTTGATACAACAGGGCGCATTGGGTAATCTTTTTCTGGTTTGTGAGCTTTAATCATTCCGTAAATCCTTGGTGGGTTACAATCTACATTTTAAAGTATGTATTTGTGTCTAGTTTACCTTCTTTTCTTAATTTGCACAATTGACTTTGAAATTTAGTAGTCAATGTGGATGTTGGATCATAATCAATAATTTTGCTATTTTTTATTTTTTCTTCTAATTTGAGAGAAGAATCATCTTTTTGATTTAATAATGCGAAGCCTGTGCCTTTATCGAAAGGGTATATCTTAATGTTAGAATTGTTTTTTAATTTGTTTATGGAAAGACGTTGCTGCTTAGTTAAATTATCTTTTAATCTTAGTTTTAGCGAATTTGTTAAAATTTATGAACAGTTTTGTCGTAGAGTTTCTGCCTGTGTTGGTTTTTTAAGTTTTTCAAGTTGTAAAGCGCAAGTTTTGATATTAGTTATAATATCCATATAAGGAATTTTTTTCGGCAGTGGTACAAAATTTGGACCTAAATTGAGTAGCTCAGTTGTTGATTTATCCAGAGTAACATTAGTTAAATTGAGTATAGCAGGTTTAATAACTTGATTGGGAGGATTAAAAGTATTTTTTATAATGGGTGTAATTTGTAATTTTTTATTTGTAAATTAATTAATTAATAAAAGTAATTTGTAAATTTTAATTTTTTCTTAATGTAATGGTAATTTTTTGATTTGTTGGTTATACTGTTAATTAATTCATAATCGTGTAATCTCACTTTTGTCTGAAGAAATATATTTAATTCATTAATTAATTTCTTACTTGAATATAATCTGTGTTAGCCTTCGTTACAAGCATAAACTAGTAGTTTTTTACTGTATTCCTTCATTATGTTTTTTGCTTTTTTAGTATGAATTGGAGTTTTTATTTTAAACGATTTTGGAGTTATGTTATTGGATAAGCACTTTTGAAGAAAAACGAGTTGATTTTTTGAGCTTGCATTTCATATCTTCAAATCTTGTAACTTTTTGGTATCATCGTAAATCTTTTTGCTGTAAAAAGTAGTAATATAATCTTTGAATGTCATTTTCTTGTGACGTTAAAATATGGTTAGAATTCAATAAATACGGCTGCGTATAAACTTCTAGGTATATATATATATATATATATATATATATATATATATATATATATATATATATATATATATATATATATATATATATATATATATATATATATATATATATACATATATATCGTAGTCGTAAGAGTATTTTAATTTAAAAAAAGTCTCATTTAATATACAGTTTTGCAACCTCAGCGATAAAGCAACAATTTTTTGTCGTCAGAATGTAAAACAATTAATTTAATGAGTTTCCACATTAAATTTTAAGGTTTTTTAAAAAACCAAATAAATAACGACTAGAATTTTTTTTTAATTAGCAGTGTTTTTTTTTTGTTTGTTTATGTTTTGTTAAAATACAATTTTTAAATATGCGTGGAGTGTTGCTACATCGACTATCTTATAACCTGACTCGTTATGGAGTGCTGCTACATCGACTATCTTATAGCCTGTCTTGCAACGGAGTGGTGTTACATCAACTGACATATAGCCTGACTCGCTATGGAGTGCTGCTACATCAACTGAGGGTTTGGTTTGGGCAAGCTATCTATCATTTAAGAAAAATTAATTTAAGTTTTTAAATTGTTTCTGGTCTGCTTTATTAGTGATCTCTTTAAAACTACCATTTTTGGCAAAAACCTGAGTTATATATATATATATATATATATATATATATATATATATATATATATATATATATATATATATATATATATATATATATATATATATATATATATATATATATATATATATATATATATATATATATATATATATATAATTGAGCGTTTAATTTGGCCACCAAATAGCCCAGATCTAAATTGCATTGAAAATCTTTGGAGTTGGCTTGATAAAGAGATTGCCAAGAAAGCACCAAGGGCCCAGAGGAGTTGCGCAATATTTTACCAACAATACTTGGAAATGTTCCCAAACATATTTTAGAGAACTTATTAAACTCAATGCCGAATCGTATAAATGAGTGTTTTAAAATTCATGGTAGAATTAAGCGGTATTAGGTGAAAACTACTGTTTTTTGCTCTGTGGTTCTTAACTTTTTCACAATTGTTTTTTAAATAAAAATTACCTAAAAAACTTTAAATACATTTTTTTTGTTTGTTTAAAAGTTTTTTTGATTATTTTTTTTATTTGGTTTGTCTATTTTTAAAATTTATCAATCTTTGTTTTATATAACTAATGTGCTCTACATTCTATAGGTCCTAAATATCTACCAAAATCTTTTTTTAGGTTTTATAATGACTTTAAGTGATATATATGAATTCTGAGTTTTACTGTTTTGACCTCATCTGACTTATCGTCATCAAAAAACATCTACTTTTAATTATTAATTTACAAAGATATACTAATGTATTATAATAGCTATTGGAAAACTTTCTTAACCACAAGTGAACAGATAGTTACAGAGACTGGTGTAGGAATAGGAGGTGGAAGGGGTGGCAGCTCCCCTTTCCATTCCAACTAACTTAAAATTTTTTTTTTTTCAATTCAAATTTTGATTCTGGCTGCCCCCTGAATTTTCATTTTAGCCTCCAACTTTCTAGACCTTCCTATGCCACTAGTTACATATACAAAGAACCCTATTTGCTCTGCACCAGTTCAATTTATTTTAAAATGTGATAAATATTATAGTATAATTTATCTTTTTTATATAAATTGATTTTTTCTGAAGGCTTACTTTTTGTTTAATATCTAATATATCAAAAAGCAGGTTAAGAATTAAGATTACAAGTTCCCTGATAGAGTAGCGTGACTCAAGGAAATTGTTCATAAAGACCTCAGCTTACTTTCTACCAACAAAGAAACAAAACTAATAAAAAAAAAAAAAGCAAAAAAAACAACTTAAAATACTAGTTAAATGACAAAGAAATTTTCTTGGGTGGTTTGGGCCTCCTAAAAGCTCTGCCCGCTCTCTCTGCTACTGCGTGTATATATTAGTAGAACGGCAAAAATGAGGTACATTTAGGTAATACCCATAAATGGATTTACCTAAGACTTTTAAAATGTTGGTGTAGAAATAGACGAGATACCACTGTGCCGAAGCACACCTCATTAAATCAGTTTAATTATATAAAACATGAGGAAGATTTTGTGTGCTTCAATCATGAATTATCTCATACTTAATGTTGATATTAAAATGTTGTAACAGATTACCACAGGGTTGAATATTAGTTAAAAGCATTGACCAATTTAAGTCTCAGTGAGTTCCCCAGATGATGACACCATGGAAACATATACCACCTTTTAGGTGTTGTTCAATATCTTTATTTCAAGTGAGTTGACCAAGCAGAGCAAGTAAATATTATGGATGTAGAAATCAGATTATTGGTATATGATCTAATACAACTGCAAAATATGCTGTTAGAGTCAATGGAGCAGCCCAAATAATTGAAAATAGTTTGAAAGTTCCAATGTTGTTGATAATATGCAGAAGACATAACAATATAAATATATATCACTGTAAGGCTGCTCTAAACAGTACTAAAAACGAAACTAAAACTTGCTAAAACTTATTAATTCTTCTTGAGAAACTTTAAACTTTGGCTTTTAATCATTTAAAAGAGGAACATGTCTTCTTAATATAAACCTATTACAAAAAGATTATGATTTTTCAAATAAATAAACATTTTTATAGATTAAATTTTAAATGCTTTAATTCAATTAAATTCTTTCAATGGATCAATATAAATAAATGAGGAGAATTAACTTATGTTTTCAAATTTAACTTTTATTTTTGATAATATATAAGAGAGCATTTATAATATTTATATGTTATATTTATTAAATAATATATACCTTTGATTTGGACGCTTTCCTTTTGATCGACTTTTAAAATTTTTCCCTCCATGATAGCATGCATAATGCATACTATAAAATAACAAATCGTCATTTAACGTTCGTTTAATGCCTTTTTTCCTTGCAGATGCAATAGATCTACTCTCTTGTTTGTATAGAGAAACGTTAAATTCAATTTCATAGTTCTTAATCGCTTCTTCTAATTCTTTTAAAGAGTTAAAACTATCACCAACATTCAAAGTCATTGTTATTACTATTATTATTATTATTATTATTATTATTATTATTATATATTTTTATTTAAACTCAATTACAGTTGAACAACTTTGCCTTTAAAATTACGATTACTTTTACAATTTATAAAATAAATTCAGAAAAAGTTTTTTTTTTTTTTTTTTTTTGTTCTTTTGTTTCCGGTTCCTTTTCCACTGCTTGAGTAGCATATGCCAATGGCATAGCAAGATGGATATATTAGAAGCCAACTTTGTTGAATATGTTGGCCCCTATAATATGAAAGCCTTTACTTCCTTGTCGATTCGCCGCTTTTTTGACAATAAAGTTTGAGTCATCGTTCATTTTAAACATATTAGCCAAAGATGGATGGCACACTCCCGACAATGCCGACATTACTATTTTTGTTGCATGAACCTTTCTTCGCTCCCCCAAGGTGTCAAGCTTTAGTTCTTCCAAAAGGGGAGCTGAATGAGTG